TTTTTTTTTTTTTTTTTTTTTTTTTTTTTTACTGGAAAAGAACTTATCATTAAAATATCAATGTACAATGTCAAAAGAAATAAGTTCTTTAAACCAAAGAGGAAAATCATCCACCTTCCATAAGAAAGGGGAGTTCGAGAAAGAAGCAAATTTAGCAATAGCATGAGCAACATTGTTGGTCGATCGACGCATATGTTGTAATCGACTAGATACTGCCGCTTTAGACATTAGACTATCTATCTCTTTTGCCCAAGAGCGAATATAGCCATGAGTCTCTTTGTAGTCAGTAACTGCTTGTACCGCCAACAGAGAGTTTGTGAAAATAAAGATAGGGGCTTGGTGCAACACTCCACATTTTTCCAAAGCTTCTTTAATCGCCAATAGCTCACAATGAACAACAGAACCCGGATTCATGACTGGCATACCAAAAGCAAATAGAGCATTACCTTGATCGTCCCGAGAAATACCACCGATCCCAAATCTATCGTCCTTCATAGTAACACTTGCGTCAACATCGATACGAATTGAGTGTTTGGGAGGTGGACTCCAAATGTGGGGAGTTGGACTACCTTCATTACCTTGAGTGACCCCCGAACCGCCAATGGATATTTGGAAGTTTCGTTTCAAGTTGTCAGCTCCAGCTACGCACTTTAGCTCTTCATTAATATTTGGGCCATGAATTACTCTTTGCCTCTCTTTCCAAATTAACCAGGCATACAATGAAAATTTTTCCAATTCTGGAGTTGACGAGTTTTGTTTCATCCACAGGCATAAATCCATAGAAGAGCTATTTTTTGTCTTTTTAACTAACGGGTAAAAGTTAGTATTTTTCCAAAGGGGCACCACCCGGGGACATAAAAAAATAGAATGGAGGGTTGAATCGAGAGGAGAATTGCACAATTGACATCCGCTTGATGAGGTGATATGATGTTTAACTAAATTTAAAGCCGAAGGAATAAAATCATTCGCTAAAAGCCACCAAAAAGTACGTACCTTTAACGAAATGTTTAAGGCCCACAGGAATTTCCACCATTTTCGGATCCGATTATCAGATTGATTTGCAGGAGGATCAAAAAACCCCATTTCAACTTTGTAGCCCTCTTTAACTGAGTAATTCCCTTTTCCGTCAGAGCACCAATACCAATCGTCCTTATCAGGGGAATTCGGGATATTGATTTTCAATATTTCTTCAGCAATAAAAGGTGGGAAGAGATCAACAATGAGATTATCATTCCATGTATCTTCACTGATGAGATCATGTACTTTACTAACCTGTGGGAAATTGTGGTGGACAAACGAAAAGCACCTGTGTAATGAAGGAAGCCAAATATCCTGGAAGATATCTACACTCCGGCCATCACCAATCTTCCACGTTGATCCTTTTGTAATTATATCTCTGCTCCATGTCAATGATCTCCAGCAAAAAGACGGATTGTTACCCAAAGGAGCTGACATTACGTCTGAGTGTCTGAAATACCGAGCTTTTAGGACCCTTGCCAAAAGAGAATCAGGACTTTTTAATATACGCCATACCTGCTTCGCTGGCAAAACTTTATTGAAAGCAGAGAGATGTCGAAATCCCATACCTCCTAGGCATTTAGGTTTACATAGAGTTTCCCAACGGGCACCAATGCATTTTCTTTGACCCTCTGTCAGCCCCCCACCAAAAGTTAGCACAATCTCGCTCAATTTCTTCACACAAAGAATTAGGAATTCGAAAGCACGACATGGCATATGTTGGGATTGACTGAAGAACTGATTGTAACAGCACTGTTCGACCACCCTCGAAAAAATATTTATGGCTCCAACTTTGAATTTGATGAGCAACTCTCTCTTTGAGATAGCCAAACTGGGTTCGCTTACTTCTGACTGAAAAGGTAGGAAGGCCCAGGTAAATCTCGTGACGTTGAGCAATCGGAATTTTTAAGATATTTTTTACTGCAGCTACCAATTTCGAGGAAGTATTCGGGCTGAAGGAAAGAGATGATTTCGCAAAGTTAATGACCTGACCAGACGCTTGTTCGTACAGGTGCAAAAGATTTTGAATAGTGTCAGCGTCCTGCGTCTCAGCTCTAAAGAAAATCAAACTGTCGTCTGCAAAAAAAAAGATGCGATATACTGGGAGAGTTATTTGCAATACGAATACCTCGCAAACATTTATTACTTTCAGCCACTAAAAGTAGATGTGAGAGGCCTTGAGAAACCAAGGCAAACAAATACGGTGACAGTGGGTCTCCTTGACGGATGCCTCGTTGAGGAGTTAAAGGCCCGAACCTGTTTTGGTTGAAGTTGAAGAAATAAGAGACTGACCGGACACACATCATGATTTTGT